ACCACCTCCAGTATATGGGGCCAGTGCCCTACTCCTTTGAGCCACAGGCACCGCCCCTCTTTTTTTTTTATTTTGTTGCTCTCAGTAGAGTGGCATCATAGTTCACAGCAACCTCAAACTCTTAGGTTCAAGTGATCTCCTTGTATCAGCCTCCTGAGTAGTTGGGACTATAGGTGCCCACTACAACACCCAGCTATTTTTAGAGATGGGGGTCTTATTCTGGCTCAGGCTGGTCTTAAACTCATGAGCTCAGATGATTCCCCCCACCTCGGCCTCCCAGAGTGCAGGATTATAGGTGTGAGCCACCATGCCTGGCCCTGGAAAGAGCTATTTTCAAGAAAGATGGGGTGGCAGACTTTGGTTGACTAATGGTATGTCTCTCACCAAGAGTTGGCATTAAGATTCAGTCTGAGGGAAGAAACTGAGCTTGCAGAGAGGCTGATGCCAATGGGTGGTATGCTCCATAGCAGGGTGAATGAAGATTTGAGTGAAAAGTGAGGAAGGGCAGGAAATATCTAGAGTAGTTAAACTGGATAGGGAAGGTGAGGCAAGGGAAAGAGCTTTTTTATTTTTTACACAAGATGTGAGCACTGTGAAGAATAGTTTTCAGTTTGCTACAGAAGCCTCTTAAGATGTGAGAGGCTACCAAAAACATGCTTTGAGAGAAAGGGCCATTGGAAAGTAAGAGACTGAAAATAAAAGAGAAGGAATTGCAGAGTCCAAATGGAGAAAGAATGTATACTGAGACTCTCAGAGATTCCCTACAGTTAACCATAACAGTCCCTTCCCTAAAACCAGCCATTAGCCAGAATAATAATCTGAGTCCCTTCCACATAGCCTAATGAAGCTCTTTTTGGATTTGAAATATGTAAATATAAAAACTCTGGAAATGCAGGCGGCACCTGTAGCTCAGTGAATAGGATGCCAGCCCCATATACCGAGGTGGCAGGTTTGAACCTGGCCTCCCTGCCAAACTACAACAAAAAATAGCTGGGCATTATGGCGGGCACCTGTGGTCCCAGCTATTCGGGAGGCTGAGGCAAGAGAATCGCCTAAGCCCAGGAGTTGGAGGTTGCTGTGAGCTGTGATGCCACAGCACAGCACTCTACTGAGAGTGACAGAGTGAGACTCTGTCTAAAAAAAAAAAACCTCTGGAAATGAACATTTCCAAGGTTTTGAATATCTTGGACAGTAATGTGGTATTTTGGAAAGTCCAATGGTCCCCAATTTGGGAAATTTGGTTGGATTCCTGGCTTTGATACTAATAGCATTATCTGAATTCTTTAGTTTCTATATCTATAATATGAGGAATTAGTATTAAATAGAAGTGAATGGCACTTTCACTTCCATCTCTCATCATCCTAGGATTCTGAATCTACTGCAGAAAATGGAGGCAAAGCAAGGACACGTCACTTACCAACTTCAAAGGCAGTCCACACAGAGATGACTAGAACAACAATGGTATTTGAGACAATCCCCTTCATGGTGACCGGAAAGCTGTGGAAATATGCAACTTTTGATGGTGAGCCAGAAAATTTCATGTGAAGTACATGTTCTCACAGAGATCCCTTACTGACCAGGAAATAACATCTGAATACTTGTTTGTTCTTTCCTCCGGTCATTAGGAATGGGTTGCATCTGGTGACATTAAATTGCCTAATTCATTTCCTTAAAATAATTGAGCATTAGAGAAAATGATCTTAAAAACAGAATTTTAGAAGATGTCAAAAAACAAAGCTAGTAAAGACTATTTGCAAAGGAAAGAATGAAATTTTATTATGTAAAAGCTTATATTTATCTCTGAGCTGAAGAGCAGTTACCAGAAAGCTCAGTGACATGTGTAAATCAATCGACAGTAAGAAACAGGCAGGGACTCAATACCTAACACTCCCTCTCACGCTCTTAATTCTCCCTAATGCTCTTACTTTGGCATTGACATTTAGTAATCACTATAGGTATTGGAGTAAAATCTTTAGAGTATTTACCAACAGCTTACTTGCATTATTGCAAGTATCATAGTGCATACTGATTGATAGTTCATTTGCAGGTTTCTATTCTCTACATCCTATACATTTTCCAGGCAAATTATGTATCTAGCTAATTTCTGTCCAAGACTATCTCTCAGTAAAAGCACATAAAAAATAATACAACTCTTTTTCTACTAAAAATTTGCAAATTAATAAGTCCACCTTACCTGCTATGACTCCCACAGGTGCTCTGAGAAACTGGTTAGACAAGGATAGTTTTAGTTGATAGTTCGCTGGCAATGAAATAGCAACGGAGGCGTAGTGTTTATGTGTTTTCAAGGTTATAGTGCCTGGCAGTGAAGTTAGGAAGTATAGATACAATCAAACCTATTCTTTTTTTTTTGAGACAAGGTCTCACTCTGTCCCTCTGTCCCCCAGGCTAGAGGGAAAGATGCCTCATCATAGCTCACTGCAACCTCAAACACCTGGGGTTGAGTGATCCTTCTGCCTCAGCCTCTCAGTAGCTACAGACATGTGCCACTACACCTGGCTAGTATTTGTCTTTCTTTGAAGTGACAAAGTCTTGCTATGTTGCCAAGTCTGGCCTCAAGTAATCTTCCCACCTCAGCTTCCCAAATTATAGGTATGAGCCATCATACCTGGCCTATCTCTTTCAACTCTAAATTCTGTAATATTTAAATCTAGTATGTTCATATTTCAATTTTCTGACCATGCTATGTACTATCCATTACCACTTCAAAATCTAGTTGTTTTTGCCAAACCTGGACTTACCATTTTAGAGATAATCTCATAATTGAGTTCTAAATTCCTATATATTTTATCTATATTACAATTATTATATCCAGGGAAGTTTCAGGTATTTATACAATACTCTAAGTTACCATATCTGCACATTCAGTTAACTATTTTATTAATAGTCAAAACTGTTTACTTTAGAATATTTCCATATTGACTCATAGAGTTTTAAAGTAGAAAATTACCTAGTTACCTGTGAGCCACTGTGCCTGGCTGATAATAAAGTTTTATAAATATCTCTTGATGACTGGGCAGAGGGCTCACACTTGTAATCCCAGCTTTTGGGGAGGCTGAGGTGGAAGTATTGCTTGAGGCCAGGAGTTCAAGACCAGCTCAGGTGGCCAGTGCGGTGGCTCATGCCTGTAATCCTAACACCTTGGGAGGGTGCAACAGTAGATTGCTTGAGTCTGAGAGTTCAAGACCAGCCTCAGCAAGAGAGAGACGCTGTCTCTATTAAAAACAGAAAAACTAGCTGAGTGTTGTGGTGGGCTCCTGTAGTCCCAGCTATTGCGGAGGCTGAGGCAAGAGTATCACTTGAGCCCAAGATTTTGAGGTGGCTGTGAGCTATGATGCCATGACACTCTATCCAGGGTGACAGAGGGAGACTCTGTCTCAGTAAATAAATAAATAAGTCAATTAAATTAAATGAAATTAAAAGTCTTCCATCAGAGAAGGAAAAAGAACAAAATTGAAGCCCAGTGATTTCACTATTAAATTCTACCAAGCATTTTAAAAAACAACTAATATCAATTCTCAAACTATTCAAGAAAATTGAAGAAAGAGAAGGGAATACTTCCAAACTTATTTTGCATGGTTAGCATTACCCTGATTCTAAAACTAGACAAGAACACAACAACAACAAGAACAAAAAGGTAACTATAAGCCACTAAACATGGTGAACATAGATGCAAAAATTCTCAAGATACTAGCAAGCTCAACTCAACAGCACATTAAAAACATCTTTAGTATGATCAAGCGGCATTCATTTCAGGGATGCAAAGATGGTTCAACATAAGCAAATCAACAAATGTGATATACCACATTAACAAAATAAAAACAAAAACCATATGATCATTTCAATAGGCACAGAAAAAACATGTTACAAAATTCAACATCCCTTCATGATGAAAACTCTCCACAAATCAGGTATAGAAAGTATTTGCCTCCACACAATAAAGGCCCTATATGATGAACCCACAGATAATATCATAGTGAACAGGGAAGAACTGAAAGCTTTTCTTCTAAGATCAGGAACAAGACAAGGATGCCCACTTTCACCATTCCTATTCAACATACTACTGAAAGTCCTAGCCAAAGGAATTATACCAGAGAAAGAAATAAAAGGCATCCAAATTGGAAATGAAAAATTCAAATTATTTGCAGATGACATGATCTTCTATATAGAAAACCCCAAAGAATCCACCAAAAAACCTGTTAGAACTAATAAACAAATTCAATAAAGTTGCAGGATACAAAATCAACATATGGAAATCAGTAATGTTTCTATATGACAATAGTGAACTATCTGAAAAAGAAATCAAGAAAAGAAAGCAATTCCAGGGCAGAGGGAGGGGAGAGGAGAGGATGGGTGGAGGGAGGGTGATTGGTAGGATCATGCCTATGGTTCATCTTACAAGGGTACATACATGTAAATCTTTCTAAATGGAGAATATAAATGTCTTAACACAATAACTAAGAAAATGACATGAAG